AAAGTGCTGCTTTGAGCACTAGTTACACACTTTACTATTTCTTATCCTATTCATCATCATTATAGAATTCTGGTGAATCGTTACATTTTTTTTCTACACAATTTACAGATATGCACCCAGAGACTGGCGTTGTATACCCATGAAATTGCAAAATTGAAGTATCAGAATTCAATACCTTGCGAAACTATATCCATAAGGGCTGGAAAAATGGAAACTACCACAATGGCTGTGCCACGGAACAGTGTATACATAGAGCACATTAATAATTAGTAAGATTGAATTCATATAATGGATTAAAATTTTCACATAGTGGGGGAAAAATTTAATAACATTTATTTTAAGTATTCTAAACTACATGCCTCGAGGAGGCCTTCGAGAATTGCTGACTAAGTATTATGCGGCACCTACTGATTACGAAGATGCCTATCAACCGGTAAATTTCCCTGGAATCAGTCCACTTTTGGTTATCTTGGGAATTGGAAGTTTGATTGCTTTCGTCACCTTCATTATTGAGAGCTATTTTCATCCACCAGCGAAGAGAGAAGACAATGGCAATGAAAATTTTTCTCCTTTTAAGTGGCCGAGAACCAAAAAAGGGAAACATCGTGGAGCTATTATTTCTTCCCTTCTAAAAACCAAAAAATATTTTTCGAAAAAAACATTTCACTTTGAGTTTGAGCATCAAAATCATATAAAATAACTTTTTCAAGAATTGTTTGGTTGTAAACGAGGATGATTTAATACTAAGAAGAACAAGGTCTCAATCACACTGTTATTCCGTTGTCTTTGCAATTACGTCCGTCCATTTAGCCTTACAGCACATATAAAAAGCGAAGAAATAAAGCTTTTAAGTGTTGAGTTTCGTAACGTTTTTAAATAAGCTTTAGTGACCTTGAATCCACGAATAACAAGGCTGAACCAAGTCTGTAACGATAAAAGTGCCTGAAATGCAATTATAATTTCCTGAAATAAATACCTAAAAAAGCTGTAGTTGGTTGGATAGTGCGACTCTATAATGAAAGCGTTCATTTGTAATTTTCTGGACAGTTTGTGCCCCTCTAGTTTAGAGTGATCTTGGACCCAATGTTACTGATTTTGTTCACGGATGATAAAGCTGTCATCATAAACTCTCATATCAATTTGCAAAGTTCACGAAGAAAATGTTGTTATTTGAGTATTCTTGCTCGAAATATACAAAACTAAACTAATGACTTTCAAGGCACGCCGTAATGTGAGAAATCTGCCATAGAGAAACACTTAAATAAATAATGCAAACACATTCACCAAAATCTGTTTGACACTCAAATTATTAGTGGTTTGAAACACTTCGGTTTACCAATGATCTAAATTTAAATAGTTGTGATTCTATGCTTTGTCGTCTGATCAAACTTAACACAACACAACATAACTTAACTTAACATTCTACTGAGAACCATAAATTTTGGAAATATCAATTTTGTCAGGACAGAACTGGAAACTTGAAATACAACATCGATTTCTATTATCAATTTAAAAAATATCATTCTTAAAACAAATTAAATTGTTAAGTCTTCAGAAGATGAAAGAGAAATTTTTGATAAAATTTACGCTGATATTTTACGATCATGTAACCGAGAGACAATTCATCAACTTCTACTCAAAATTGGAGTAAAAATTGCATATAACTATTTTAAATCGCCTTCATAATAACTCCTACTCCATTTTCGGGTAGACCATTACGTCAGGGTAAATTTTGCTGAATATTTCTTTTCGTGCGGACAAGTGAACATCGAATCTTTAATTAAGTGAAATTCCACCATGCTTTAATTCTTCGGATTTGTAGCCGTTTTCACGGAACAACCCATCTAAATTTGAATGTTTGCATTAATTTTTATGTAAAATTCTGGATTTTTAATTCTAACATGCTTATTAATCGT